ACATCAGTATTACACCTTGCTCCAAACAGCCACAGTTTTGAATATGGTTGCACCGTATATCACGTCCAAATCCTTTCCAAAAGTTTTGTCGTGTCTAGAGTACTGGTGTGAGAATATTTTTTTTTGTTTGTGTTTCGCTTATTTGTGCCTCTGATATCCAGGTAACTTTTTCTTGTGACCAATAGTAGATCAAAAATAATTGGAAAGGTCCCACTGAGGGTGTCCATTACTAAATGGGCGAATTTCAGTAATGGTCACTAGCTTTCTTGATTTGATTTCACATATGCAAAATTGTTGTAGATTGATTATGGGGAAAATGATGCGTAACAAGAGAGATTTGTTTTTGTATTCAGCGGATAACATGATCAAATCAATAGAAGCGGCGAAACATGGTATGTAGAAAAAAGCTTCAGTTGACTTCGGTGTTCCTCCCCCAGTCCTTTACCTATCTGTAACCAAGGGCGGATTTAGGATTTCGTCAAGGGGGGGTGGCGCAAACGATATTTGGGGCTGGTAATTGTTCAACCTCAGTGGAACTTCTAGAATTTATCCTATTATTGCTCCTCCAATCCATTATGTTCTATGTGGTCAATGCCAGCTTGAAAGAAAAACATGGAAAATGCTCAGAAATCCGGAGAAAGGAATATTTCATTAGATGAGAACAGAATAAGTACGTCGTATTTAGAATTAGCTAGTGTAATAATAATAGAGATTAAAACATTAAAAACTTCATTGCTCTGTTACTTACTTATCTGTAACCAAGGGCGGATTTAGGATTTCGTCTAAGGGGAGGCGCAAACGATATTTGGGGCTCGTAATTTTTCAACCTCAGTGGAACTTCTACAATTTATCCGATTATTGCTCCTTAAATCCATTCTGTTCTATATGGTCAATGCCAGCTTGAATAAAAAAACATGGAAAATGCTCAGAAATCCGGAGAAAGAAATATTTCATTAGATGAGAACAAAATAAGTACGTGGTATTTAGAATTAACTAGTGTAATAATGTTAAAGATTAAAGCATAAAAAACTTCATTGCCATGCTAATCGAAAAAAAAAACATTCTGAGGTACCCCGAAACATATCCCAGTCCATTCCAGAAAAAACAATGTATTTGATGGCGAAAACGCACATGAGACCGAAAAATTCACATTATCGTATGCGACAAAGAAGAATGTCTATCGACCATCGTGTCTTGAAACCGTCTCCAGACTGCCTGTAGACAAATTGCGCAACGGGGTCTACTAGTGTGTACTAAGCTTAAGGATTAAGATTCTGAAATTCCCATTAAACAAATCAAGTAGTATACTAACACAAACAAGCAGTTCTATTATATCAGCAGGTGATAAAAATATCAATAGGTATAGTCAATTATTTTTTGAAATTCAATATAGATGTTACAGTTATTCTTCAGACTTTCGTTATCGAACTTGGATTTACGGCATAATTGTTGTTTCATGTTTTCGAATCGGTGTTGATCGCATGTTAAAATGTTGGATATCTTTGAAAAAAACTATATCTGTTAGGTAGTAATTATTTTGATAACGTATGTTTGTACGAATCAAGTTCAGGAATACAGGGGTATTCACGTGTAGTACAAAAGCTCTGTGATTTAAACGAATTCTATATAGCAACATAAACAGACACATACGCAGGTGGTATTGAATTTGACCATCTTTCGACGCATTTTCTTGAGACACCACAGTCGCACCGCTAAACAAATCTCATAAATATCTATTTCCAATTTAGGCGTTCATCTATCATAGTTCTCTGCTGCAACACTATCCGCGAATAAAATAAGTCAAGCTTTACACACTTTTCTAATTACTATTGAGCAACAAACTGAATATAAATCACTTTTCAGGTGCAATCTGTATATCTATTATATTACTCAGATTTGTCACAAGTCACAATACTTGTATATACTTATAAATCGTAAGAACTGTGCTATAAAAGTAAGTGATGTCAAAGAGGGACAGCGTTTGGAATACCAAAGGATACCAAAAATTCGAAACGCTCATTTCCTATAGCTATAACTTATAGTTAGTATGCCTGTGATTACGTCTAAGGGGGGCGCGCGCCCCCCGCATTCCGTCTAAATCCACCACTGTCTGTAACATTCATATAAAATTATTTACATTACCTTTCATTTATGCGACTAAGGTTCCGATCGATCACGTTCTGATCGAAACGGTAAACAGGGTGCAGTGCGGTTTTCACGTAGTTCGATCGTATGAATGAATGGCTTTCTATGTACTGTAAAAGTTTTACCACCCTCCCCCAAAAACTTCTCCAAAGTGAGGAGTAACGCGAGAAAGTTGATATTACATTGAAACCTGGTGGTTTTCATGTTAATTGATTCAAAATAGCATATTTTACTTACGCTAAATTCCGAAGTATACCGTTCACAGATACCTAAAATTGACCCCCATTTAAAACTTAATATTTTGGAAGCTATTTCTTCATCTATAGCTTTTCAAAACCGCCCAACACCAAAGTGTTTTGGGCACTTCTCGCATGAATATGACCTAGTCAATCACACCATATCAGCCGTTTCCCAAAACCAAATCCGGAACTCCCCGTTTCTGCTTCCCCTTTTGTTTATATACTGAATATCAAAAATAGCCTGTTATCCATCAAAATGGCTGAAGACCTACAAGTTTTTATTCTATCACACCCTACCAGCCGTTTTCCGAAAGCAATTCGGGAACCCCCGTTTTTGATTCCTCTTTGTTTATACATAGCAAATTTGAAAAATCTATTATTCGTAAAAAACATCAAAGACCAAAAAGTTTTCTGTATTTCTGTCATCAATATAACCTACTCTATCACACCCTACCAGCCGTTACCCCAATTCAGTCTATCACTTACATAATTTATTGAGCCTGATAGTGAAATTCAAAAACACCAACGACAAAATAGCCTATTATTCATCAAAGTGGCTGAAGACCTACAAGTTTTTTGTTGTACTTGCATCCACCTAACCTGTTCTATCATACCCTACCAGCCGTTTTCAGAAAGCAAGTCCGGAACTCTCCATTTTTGAACCCTCTTTGTTTATACATAATTTGCTAACCTATTATTCGTAAAAATTACCAAACACCAAAAACATTCTTGCATTTATGGCATTAATATAATCTACTCTATCACACCCTACAAGCCGTTCCCCCAAAGCAAGTCCAGAAGCTCCCTTTTCCTACCCTCCTTTGTTTATACATAGCAAATTTGGAAAAATCTACCATTCGTAAAAAAATCGAAGATGAAAAACTTTTCTGCATTTCTGTCATCAATATAACCTGCTCTATCACACCCTACCAGCCTTTTCCAAAGTTAATCCGAAACCTCACGTTTTCAAACCCCTTTGTGTATAGTAGTAATATTTATTTACTCTAAAATACAGGGAACATGAAACGAGTAAATAAATATATAATCTATCCATAGAAGGATAATGCCTGTGCATAGATCAGACAGGTATGTATGTTGAATTGCAAAAGATAAAAAAAAGAATAGAGAGAGAGAAAAAGAACATAATCATTTGTAAGAAAGTGTAATATTTGAGATTAGTCTATTAATGTTATTTCTCCCAATCGAGTTAATACATTTTTTTTAACTTAATGTATTGCGTAATTGTTTTAAATTATTTGGTAAATGTTCATACAATTTTGGAGCTAAGTACATTAAAGACTTGTTTGGTTAACTAATAATTTTGTGATAATGAGCGATGGTATGTAAGAAATAAAATTGTTAAGTATCATCTGCTTGTGCATCATTATATAAGTCATTGGATTTGCCAAACATTGATTTTAAGATTGTTCTTTGAAGCAGAACTAAATCGTTAAGGTACGTCATGCATGAGGCACCCCATACTACTATACCATATAATAATAATAATAATAATAATAATCCGGCTTTATTTATACAAAGTATAAAAAGGCGAAGTGTCGCTAAAAAGCGTTTTTCAACTTAACCCGGCTCAACTAAAGCTTATTCATAGATAATATTCAGTTAATATACCAGTTGGAAATTTAATTTTATATGCTATGAATCTAATTTTCTTTAGTAAGTAAGAAATATGTGCATCCCATCTCAAGTGGGGATCTAGAAAAATTCCTAAATATTTTGTATCATTAACTCTATTGATTTATAGATTTTTATCATTTACCTTAAAGCGAATGTGGTTATATTTTGGTAGGTGGTTAGATAGTGATGAAAATGGTAAAAAATGAATTTTAGTAAAAATAATTGTTAATTTTCGGTTACAATTTGTGACAATTTTGATATTCGGTCTAAACATTGTGATTTTGTACTCATTTCCTAATTTCTTTTCGAATGTAGTTTTGAGTGTGTTGTGGTGTTCTTCAGTCAGCTTAATTATAATTCCTCCATTTACAAAATTTCGTATATTTTCTATTTGTTTTTTCAAATCAGCAAGGCGATTTTTTTGTTCAGGTGTTTTCTCGTTTGTTCAGATGTCTAGATACCATTTGGTTTCATTAGGTCTTCCTTGATTGTTAGAGCATTTGCTTTTAGCACTTGGGCATATGATTTCTCTTTAATTTCCATTAATGTAAACTTCCATTGTATCTGATTTTTCCGTTGAGATCTGGTTTTTAAATTTGTTCTTCGGCATCATGCATATATATTAACTCAGCAGCAGCTTGAAGCCACAGTTGAAATACTACTCTTATCGGTCCTGAAGTTGACACAACTTGACAGTTTCCTTTGGTAGTAAATGAATATTATGAATATAAAAGAATTTTGCTGACTGTGCTGCTGGTCTCACCAATATTTCTAGGGATTCCAGTCTTATAAAGCTTTGCCTCTCAGCGATATTAATTAAAATGATCCAGTTTAAACTTCTCGTAAAGGTGAGTTCTTTAACTAGAGTTTTATTTAAATACATAGCAAATTTGAAAAAATCTATTATTCGTCAGATTTGGACAAATTGCAATAGTTGAATGAAAATGAAAAAATTTACTGAAACCACATTTATTATAAATCGTTAAAAATACATGGAAAAAATACATGAACTAAATGCAATTTTCAAGATATATTTAGTTACTCCAAATGAACACGGCGAAAGCAATTCCGGTCTTTGTTCAAACATAATCTAACATTACATTTAACACACGAAACTTGTTTGTCCCTTACATTAAGGAAATTTGCATCTCTGGTGATGTTATACCATTCAGGAAGATGTCCAACATTGTCACGACGATTTTTTGGCCTGGTATTTCCGCAAAAGGATATTTCCTTCTTAATCCAGTTGTGGCTCCCTATCAAGCTGTTCCTCTTCGCTGGTTTCCACCAGAACTTGAGAAAATGTTCTTTTTCGGTAAAAATCATCATCTGACAAATTTTCATGTTCACTTTCACCTAAGTTCGGAATCTCAACAGTTTTAGTACCATAAAATCGTTTTGGATCCATCTGAAAAAAATAATTCATATATAGTCAGACTTTCTTTTACTGCAACTTGTTTCGATTATGACACAAGATAGCAACTGATGATAAACTGACAGGTGTATGGGTTGAAGGGCCTAATTTTACAAAAGTCACAATTAGAAATACTTGCCAGAACTTAAATAATTTTAGTTGCAGCAAAAATTTGATTTTTGAATGCTTGATGGCCACCATAACTGTATAAATAAACGTAGTAACACGTACATATGGGACGCCAAACGAAATCTGACGCAATTCATAAAATATATAGGGCGACAACGTTTCTTGGAGATAGAGAAGCGAGCGTGCGAGATATGGGACAATTTAAGTTAAGGTCTTAAACTATTGAGGGAAAATAAAATAGATTTTACTTGTCCAAATCTGGGACAGTATGCGGTAAGCGGTTAATATTAGTAATTTCATGACATTAGCATTTTAAATTGAACTAAATTTTACGTTGTAAAGGTGACCAAAATTTCCGGTTACACAATCCATTCTTCATAAGACTACTGAAAAACAGAATCTCGTCGGTCCAATTTTTAGATATAAGAAGATTCCAAGCAATTTCAAATAGACTTGCACGTGCCCTTTAATCCCTTATCTGGCCCAGAAACACAATCCATTCATCTGAGATGTCCTGACTGTAAACTACCTCCCTGTCAAAACTCTTTTTTGTTTCCAACATTTTGTTGACTAATGGGTATCTTTACGCTTTTAGATATAATGCCCTTTGTACATGGAGTATACGAAAGAGCTAATTTAAATAGCAAAAACAAAGGTGGCAACTGAAGGTAGATCTGCTGAATAATTGGAACATTGTACACTGTGATTTATAATAGATCATTTTTAAGTTCCCTAAATAAACAAGGAAGAGGAGCAAAAACTTCTAGTCTTGGTATAGGAACTTGGCAATTGGGCTGTGATAGACTAGGTTCTATCAATACCAAAAGTACAAAAAGCTTCTTGGCTTTCAAACATTTTGACAAATATCTTTTTTCAACTTTGCTATACACATAGGGGCTCACAATACGTGGGTTCTGGACTTGCTTTGAGAGAATGGCTGGTAGGGTGTGATAGAGTAGGTTATATTGATGCCAGAAATGCAAAGAACTTTTTCGTCTTCGGCCATTTTGACCAATAATAGATTTTTCAAATTTGCTATGTGTATGCAAAGAGCGGTCAAAGGCGGAATTGCTTTCAAAGAACGCATGGTAGAGTGTGAAGAAGTTATAGCGATGCCAGAAATGTTAAGAACGTTTTGGTCTTCTGCCATTTTGACAAATAATAGATTTTTCAAATTTGCTATGTATAAACAAAGGGGGGTCGAAAAAGGAAGTTCCGAGCTTGCTTTGGGAAAACCGCTAGTAAGGTATGATATAGTAGGTTATATTGATCCGAGAAATGTAGAAAACTTTTTGGTCTTCGGCCATTTTGACGAATAACATATTTTTTCAAAGTTGCTATGTATAAACAAAGAGGGGTCAAAAACGGGGGGTTCCGGCCTTGCTTTGTAAAAAGTTGCTCACAGGGTATATTAGAAAATATTAGAGTAGGTCATGTTGATGCCACAAATGCAAAAAACTGTTTGGTCTTCGGTCATTTTTACGAATAATAGATTTTTTCAAATTCGCTATGTATACGCAAAGGGGGATCGAAAACGAAGGGTTCCAAACTTGCTTTGGGAAAACAGCTGGTAGAGTGTGCTAGACTAGGTTATATTGATGTCAGAAACGTAGAAAAAAACTCTTTGGTCTTCGGCCATTTTGACGAATAATAGATTTTTTCAAATTTGCTGTGTATAAACAAAGAGAGGTCAAAAACGAGGGGTTCCGGACTTGCTTTCTGAGAACGGCTGGCAGAGTATCATAGGGCAGATTATATTGATGCCGGAAATGCACAAACTTTTTGGTGTTCGGCCATTTTGACGTATAATAGATTTTTTCAAATTTGCTATTTATAAACAAAGGAGGGTCGAAAACGGGGGTTCCGGACTTGCTTTGGGAAAGCGGCTGGTCGGATGTGATAGACTAGCTTATATTGATGCCAGAAATGTAAACATTTTTTTGTTCTTCCGCAATTTTGACGAATATAATATTTTTTCAGGTTTGCTATGTATAAACAAAGAGGGGTCACAAACGAGGGGTTCCGGGCTTGCTTTCGGGAACGGCTGGTAGGGTGTGATAGGGTAGGTTATCTTGATGGCAAATGCAAAAAACTTTTTGATCTTCGGTCTTTGTTACGAATAATATATTTATTCAGATCTGCTATATATAAACAAGAGGTGACAAAAACGAGGGGTTCCGCACGGGTATTATGTAAAAAACCTATAAATCGTTAAAAAAACCCTATAAGATGTCATCTTGCAGACTAGGTATTTTTTAGGGTGCAAGCAGTCATTCCACGTTTGCCTACCAGGATCGTTGTGAGCGTCCATCTATGGAGGAATGGCTCAACTACACCACTTTTCAATATAATTAATAAGGTATTTATTCATTTGCTAAAAATACGGATTGCTATAAGTTGTTGCCAGTACAGGAGCAACAATGACATATTAAATCACTGCCACCAAAGCGAAGCCTTGTGTATGGCAACAATCTAATTTTTTGTCACATTTGCCATCATGCTCACTGGCGAAACAACTTATGAGTAGTGAAATGGCACTGGTTATTTGTTTGTTTAAAATTAAAGTTAAAAAAACACATTGAAGCTATAGCTATCCGTAAAGTATAAAAAAGTGAAAGTAAAAAAGAAGGATAAAAATATTGAAACACAAAGAAATAGTACATTCACAAATCATTGAGACGCACGCATCAAAAAGTAATAAAACTAGACACTAATAAAAGTATGTCTATCGTAAATATAACAAAATATAGTAAAAATAAAATTAATATAAAAAGAACACTCCAAATATACTATAATCATCATATTCATACAGGCTGGTGACTACATCTGGCCTTTCATAGAGGCATGTACAAAAATAATCGATCGAAGCTGCACATATCTCCTTCATCTTCTGCCCTCCAAATATACTGAATTGAAACGTCGCGTTAGCGCCTAAGATGGTTCAATAAGCATTTAGGTAGTGGCGAAATGATATGGACTTTAGAAGAGTAGCGTCACTCGTTAAAATAGTTTTTGGCGAGGTGTCTGTAATTACATTGTGGTATCCAAAATCCTACATGCAGTTAAATGTGGTGTATGTGATACAGAAGGTAGTCAGGAGGAAAGTAAACATCCAGGTAATGAAGGTCACGTGAAGGTAGTAGACCGCAGAACACTTATTTTAAGTGTCGCGAAACTAGCATGAAGTGGGGTGCTAATATTTCGAAGCTCTGCTAATGATGTAAAGGCGACTATTGTCATTCTAACATATTTGGAATTTGAGACATCGTCGCTTAAGTTGTAATACCACGAAACGCAAAAAAATAACTTATGTATTTGCTTAAAGAAGCCACCGTGATTGCCGAAATGTCATCAGTTGGCACTATTGGCTTATGAGGTTTCACTTACAACTAGACAAACATGGAGGATTATGAGATCATTCGATAGCGACTCCAAAAGCCCACCGTTCTTTTTGCTCTCCTAAAAACTTGTTAGTTTCAAGTTACAGCGTACTGGAACTCTTTTTATTGAACAACTAAATTTTTGTGATTCATGGGTGCATAGTATCAAAAAGAAGAAAATACGATACAAATTTGTTATTGTTAAATTCCACGTAAGCGAGTAATGGCAAAAATTTCCAAAGTAGATTGTTCAAGAATATTGCGAGAAAATACATGTCATCTTCCATTTCTTTATTTAATTTCATACTCTTCGGTCTATATTATTCATGTTCACTGAAAAATAAATACGAACATTTAAAAACCAAAGTGATTGTTTTCATCTACACTGAGAGAGCTTTTAGGATGTAAGCACATAGTTTGAAGAATCTGCTTTCTTTTCTGTGGTTACTAAGTTTAGCGCCCTTACGGGAGTCAAACTTGTCTCCGAACAATAATCCATTCCAACCTCTGTTAGAATCAGTATAGCAGTTACTTATATTGCACAATGTCAAGGAAACCAGAACGACAGGTGGGTTATCGCCAATGGGTGGAACGCTAAAGTACTATATTTTTCAAGCTTATTTTCCAGAAAATGCTATTTATCATATATCGTTTAGATAGAAAAAAAATAATAATATGGATTACCCTGTATAAACACGATTACTCTATGACATGCCAAACTACGAATTACTCTGTTGAATCAATAAAACTGAAAGTAGGAAACCCATTCAGATGAACTATTATATAATGTTTATTTGGATATCTTGGTAGCCTCCAGACAGTAAATCACAAAAAAGCCTATTGTATAGCAGCCTGTGTGTTGGTGTATCTATTCGGTCATGTCTTTGATCAATGCATTAATTTGTAAATTGAATCAAGAAGGACTTATTCACTTCTTATTTACCTCGTCGCCGCCGCTGGATGGGTGCAATCCCAATGATATTAGAAAGAAGCGCGAAACTCTTTTAACTAGGCCCACAGACCCCACGCCTCTGTTCCTATTCTGGTATGGGCACACCGGCGTATTCATGGGAGGGTTTTGGGGCTCATCGGAGTCTCCCCTCCCTAAGCGCAACAGCTCAGGATAAATAGCCAGCGTTCATTTCGTAATCTAAATTTTTTTCATACTTAACTACGAGTATGTTCGATAGCCTAGCACTTACGGCTTGTCTATTCAGTACCTAACATCCTACCTTCCATAACAGACTGAATCCAACAACCTGCTTGTCCCTGAATATTGAAATTTGAAAGAAATAAATTGATTTTCAAAATTCTGTGGATATTTGCAAATAAAGACGTTATCTGCTTTGAAAATCACGCCATAATGGGAATTTAATTAAGCCTACATCTCATCAACAGCAATAGCTCGCCGCCATTGGAGACAACTCAAGCAAGCGGCGCGTCCCTATAGAATGCGGTTCCTTTTGTCATAATTCATTGCTCGGACATTACCTTTCTGTATCAATCATGCTTTTTAGACCGTCTTCCGTGCTAATACAACGTTGCAATTCGATATTTTTGGAGGCCAGAAGATGCAAGAGGTATGTGCAAGTTGGATGGCTCATCTTTGTACAACGTTTTGCCATCTATATTGTTAGAAACACGGATAGTCAAACACTAATTTTCCACCAATCAACTTGTATTAACAACAATAATAATAACACAACGATTTAATGTAATTTCGGAGCGGCAGATTATTCGAGCACGATGTGCACTGCTCGACGTTACAGCTCGCTCTGCCAGGGTCGGCGGCCGATCGTCGCTCCCTCAGCTATCGGAGCAGTAACCACACAGCAGTACCCCTTCGTGACCGGCAGCGGCTCACCAAAGTTTGTCGTTTCTTACACGGCCTTCCTTATGGCTGCGACGTTCTCGACGCCCTCTGCACCACAGGCCGAATCTGTGAATCAAAAGCATATGCAAAACTTACATACTTACATACTTGCCACAACTATTATCTCACAAATATGATTCAAATCTGAATCAACCACTACCGGTACTAAGATCAAAATTCACAATTCCATTACAGAACTGCACGTAAATTCAATTAAATAAACCTTTAACAGTGACGGCGACGACCGTCTCATTAAAATAACTACTCTAAAACTTCAGTAGTAGCTCTACTACTAACAAGACAGAGACCAGTCTTACAATATCCCTGAAGACCTCAGCCTTCAGCTGGCTCTGCTACTGACGAGTCAGAGACCAAAATAACAGTATCCCTGAAGACTTCAGCTGGCTCTGCTGCTGACGAGACAGAGACCAAAATAACAGTATCCCTGAATACCTCAGCCTTCAGCTGGCTCTGGTGATGACGAGACAGAGACCAAAATAACAGTATCCCTGAAGACCTCAGCCTTCAGCTGGCTCTGCTGCTGACGAGACAGAGACCATGTTACAACATCCCTGAAGACCGCAGCCTTCAGCTGGCTCTACTACTGACGAGACAGAGACCAGGGTGCAGTTTCCATGGAGATCTCGGCCTCCATTTGGTTCAACTTCTGACGAGATAGAGACCAACATCAAGCAAGGCAGCACCAAAATTGTTGAGTGATAGTCTCGTATGTCTTTTCGGGTCCCACGTGACACTGCTCATCATGGAAAATGCGCAGTAGGCCTAAACGATTGACGAACAGCATCCTTTTCATTGGCGAATTTTCAGGCTGACATTATTCACTGCACCAACTTTATTGCCTGTTGTAATCATGCCACTAAAATCTTGCAGTATAACTTCAAGACCTACGCGATGTTGTTCAGGTACTTTAACTTCTGTGACTGAAGCACCAAAATCTTCTGAAACGGGATTTATGCCAGGCAGCTGACGTCGCACAACGCGTGATCCTTGATGATCTGTTATGGTGGCGAGACTTTCATCTTCAAAAATATTAGGCCCCACCAAAACATCATAATCGAGACACTCGCCAGAAACAAAAATAAAACACATCGGAATATCAACACCAGAAATTTTCGCACAAGCCGTCAACTTCTTTGTAGCCTTAATTGTAACGTTAGCTAGTCCTTTCAAAATAACATTGCATCTAACAATCTTATTATCAAATAAGTATTATAATTAATATTTCGGTGGACCCAACTGGTTTTCCACTAGAACAAAAGTTTATATTGCGAAGTTTATCAATAGCAGCTTTGGTAAAGCAATTCGATACGCTGTGACCTTTCTTAGCACAAAAACTACAAATTTCAGAACTATGAGATGTGCTTGGTAAGTCACGCTGACCTACGGAATTGTATCTGTCGTCTGATACCAATTTAGTTTTCTTCACACAATTCGCTTTAACATGCCCAGATTTTCCGCACTGGAAACACTTCTTAGAGTTTTTAACAAAACCACCTTTTTGCTTGTCAACAGATGAATATTTCCTTTTGAGAGAAGAAGAATCAGTTTCGGCTATATTTTGTCTGTCATTGCACGAAGGCTTAACAAACGGTGACAAGAAAACCAATAATTCAGAAATAGTTCTGCAGTTAGCATTCATCGCAGCATTGCGCACCTCTAGTTCAGAGATTCCATAAACAATGAGTTCGACCAAATCACCTTCGCACCAATTTGCACGTAAATTTTTAGGCATAGATGATTTCTCATGCACATAACTTTCATATGTGTTGACAAAAGAACTGTTAAATTTTGCTGCCACCTTCAACAAACGACCCAAATTTCTTTTAGGAGGAAACGCCTCAGCAAAGTCAACTCGAAAAGTAGCCCAATCCCTGTTGTCTGGGTTCCAACGTTCGAACCATCCCTTTGCACCACTCAATAAAAATCGGCCAATCCTTGCCAGAGTTTGAACGACAGACCATCCAACTTCACGCTTAATGACTTCAATTTGACTTACCCATTTACTGGATTCATTTATTTCGGGTCTAAAATAGGGAAAATCTACCTGTTCTGCCAACCTTTGGGACTGCAAGGCCTTTACCAATTCTGCAACCAGCGACTGTCTGGGGTCTTCTTCTGTTGAAGCCATCGTTAAATTCAGTTTCCTTATCAGGAACACCAAGACTTGATCCGCAACGCAGCAGTCTTTTTTTTGGGCACAATCTCGCTTCTGATGTTAGAAACACGGATAGTCAAACACTAATTTTCCTCCAATCAGCTTGTATTAACAACAATAATAATAGCACAACGATTTAACGTAATTTCGGAGCGGCAGATTATCCGAGCACGATGTGTATTGCTCGACGTTACAGCTCGCTCTGCCAGGGTCGGCGGCCGATCGCCGCTCCCTCAGCTATCAGAGCAGTAACCACACAGCAGTACCCCTTCGTGACCGGCAGCAGCTCGCCAAAATTTGTCGTTTCTTACAATATACTCATGGATTTTTCTTCTAGAAATGACTTTTATCCGCAAAGAAATTCTTTTTGTAAATAATCCGATATTTTGTATTGCTTTGTAAGCGACAAGCATTTCATTGTACAGCTTGGGGCATAGATAAACCCAAGAGCGTTGTAATAGTGTTGTTTCTGACTTGGGTACTATTTGGTGCAGAGTCGCTTTCTGTCGGGTGTTATATTTATTATTTTTTCATGAAAAGTTTATTTTTAAAGTAATACACCATCAAATTATAGATAAATAGCTGTTTCATGTCCATCATTTCTGTATCATGATATAATTCGTTAGACGGATAAATTTTATTTTTGCTGGAAATAATCTATGATATATGTTTTTGAGCAATTTCCAAGTTTCTTGAACATGAGAATGCCGCTCCTCCTAAACCAATTACTCCGTAGCAAAGATGTGACTGCACAAGTGAAGACTCACATACCATCAAAGCTAAGCACGTTTGTAAAGAACTTGAATTTTGGCATAAAGGCCGTCTGTCACGATACGAAATTTTGTGCTAAATTCAGTACCAAATTTTGTGAGAAAATTCGTTCGAGTTTTGTTCCCAATTTGTGTACAAATTAAAATCCTGTCTGACACGTAAAGAAATTTCGTACGAAATCATGCGCAGTTGGTAGAAAAAAACTATAGCTGTCAACTTCAAACTGTCGTTTATCACGTCAAAGTCACACTAACCACACTTTTCGCTTCTGGCTTTTGCTTGATACTTACTTACTTTGAACGAATAGCAAATGGAGCGATCCAGTAATTCGCATCTATTAGATATATGTGATTGCGGCAGCAGTCACCTGCGTTGTAGCTGCCGACCTCATGAAAAAACGAAGTAAACGAAATCCTAAAGGAATTTGGTGTCGAAAGTGGATCAAAGAGAGGGACCCGCACGAGTATTATGTAAAAAACCTATAAAACGTCAACTTGCAGACCAGGTAGTTTTTAGGGCGCAAACAGTCATTCCACGTTTGCTCACTAGGATTGTTGTGAACGTCCATCTATGGAGGAATCACTCAACTAAACTACACGCATTATTGGTTGCATAGGTATGTGAGGCTGAGTAATCTGTGTCTGTAATTTTTATCTCTGAGAAGAAAGTTGGTTGAATAGCAAGATCGCATCTGGATGATTATGTGTATTGGTCTGCATGTGTATAAAATCAGTGATATTTGCTGTGTGAGAAAATCATTACTGAATATGCCGAATATGACTGGTTATTTATATGTTGTGCTTTCTGAAGAGAGGTTATGTTCAAAGTTATAAATTACGAAAAACTGAGGAGAATTACGGGAAATCATCACCGCGACCGCGTTGTGTGTAATTACTGTTATGGCTTGTAATTCGACAGTGTACAGTGAATATAATTATTTCTTATCTCTCTCATTTTTTAAATTCAGCACATTTGTATATATAATTTCCAGTATGGATAAGAAAAAGTGGATGCGCAACTAATTTCTAGCTTTGAATCTCAATTCAGTGTATTTGAGACAAGAGCCCAATGTACATATCATCAACACATACAACTTACAGATTAGACCTCCAGTAGTACCATCTCAGAAGCAGATTTTACATCACATCAGAACCAAAGATTGTTAACAAGCCTCAGGACGTTTAGGCAACACGTACAACTAAGTGCTAAGTTAACATCTTGTATAAAAACCTACATAATGTCAAAAAAACAGCATAATGTCAAAAAAAAATTGCATAATGTTACTTTTCAAGATACGTGATACCCGTGCAGGGCATGGGTGTGCTCCATATGATCAGTAAAGAACTTATAATGGAGGATCTGTTGGCTTGTCGGAACTTTCTTTTGTCTTTGGCAGAGTATCAAGAATGGATACTGTTATGCGAGAGGCTATCCCAACACAAACAGGTATTGTGTATGTATATGTATTCTAGTTGAGCTATTCAATGTAACTTTGGATTACTTATTTTTACTCAACTAGAATTAGGATACTAGAAAACAGTCCAGATAACACAAATACCATCTTATTCCAGGTTAGAAGTAACACAATTCCTTACAACTGGTGAATCATACAGGTCATTAATGTACTCTACCCGAATACATGAAACAACCATCTCTAGAATTGTAAACGAAGTATGTGAAGCTATCATTGACACTTTGAAGCATACTTATCTAAAAGTAAGTAAATTCATCGCTTAAAGTAACTCCTGAAACTTATGATATTGAAGTGTCAGGTTTTTGTCACCTCTTCCTTGCTTTCTCTGTTTACCCTTTATTTTATTTGAGCACAATACCACAGAAAATTTAATTAGCACATTTTTTTCAGAGCTGACAGAAAATAGAATTAAGCCAGATTGGTCAAAGAATAGTGTGCAAATTTTAAGGATACCCACATCCAAAACTTGCACTGGAAAGGAAAGTAGTATCCTATTCAATACAACAAAGGTCATTGTGGGCATAATTGCAATATCTTAAGTAAACCCGTTCTGGTATATCTCCACCTGCCTTAGGTAGATGAAACATCCTGACAGGAAGTGTCGGTAGTACTGTGATTGGCGGAACTACTCATAGGTTAGAGTGTCGGCTGGCATTTTCGCACATCAAAATAATGAGTTTTCATCATCTGTCTCCAAATGACTAGACCTATAACCTACTGATGATTGCTAAAAAAACACGAGACAACGTTGTAAACAGTTGGTTCCAGATCCTATTTAGCGTCTCAAATTTTGTGTAAAAAATCACATTTACACGCCCTCTGACTGAAACAGATAGGCCACTATAATAGCTAAAATCCAACAAAGAAAGAGCACCACGAGAAAAAATATTTATAAAATGAACCTACTGTATTTGAAAGAGTGGCAGTCTACGAGAAGATTGGAGCCTATGGTTCTAGCTGAAAGTAGTAATTTATCTAAGAAATGCGTTTGAACAATTTAGCTCAATTGATGTTATGTGAATAAAGTAACAGACCCCTTGCCTAAAATGGACCCCGGCACGGCTATTATCTAAAAAAATATAAAACGACAAGAAAGCCAACGAAATGTCCTCTTGCAGATTAGGTACTGTTCAGGGTGCAAATAGTTCATTCCACGTTTGCTCGCTATGATCGCCGTGAGCGTCCATCTATGTAGGAATGACTCAACTACACCCATTGTTGGTTGCAGAAAGCAAGTATATATGTTTTGTGAAGCCGAGTAGTAGTGTTTATCTCTAAGAAGATGTGAAAGAAAGAAAGTTGGTTGAGTAGCAAGATCGCATCTGGAAGATTATGAGTATTGGTCTGCATCGGTATAAAATCAGTGATATTTGGTACGTGAGAAAAGTACTGAATATGCTGCCAATGAAGTGTATCTATTAGCTGTGCCCGACGGATTATTTATTTTTGTCGTTTCTGAAGACAAGTTATGTTCAAAGTTATAAACAATGATTTTTCCCGTTTTTTTGGGTTTTCAAAAACTTTGAGGAGCATTACGGAAAATCGCCACCGCGCCCGCGTTGTGTTCAATTAAGCCAAATCACAGAAAAGTTAGCAATGACTCATAACATTTTAAACATTTTCGCAGTGCCTCACATCTAGGCGCTGTATATCTGATTTGTATTTCATATTAACATAGCAAAACAAATTTCTTTAAAGTTTAAATGGCTGGAAATCAAAAATTATGTAATAACCTTTGCACTTTCATAAATATTCCAGTGTGTCGCATATTTTCTCATCTGCTACACCAACCAGGGATTTTCTTTTCTATTTCTCTCATTTCAAGAATGAATAAAGAAAAGGGATGCGCAACTAATTTCAAGTTTTGAATACATCTCAAATAAGTCTATTTGAAACGAGAAATCAATGGAATTATCATCAACACAGATTATTAGCACACTCATCCTCACTATGCACCTATGCAATGCCGTTTCCTCCAGCTATAGTCTATCGTATACAACTTAAAGCTTAGCCCTCCAATATAATCTCTGAAGCAGATGTTACATCACATCATAGCCATTGATAACTGAAGTACCATGATGTTTAGGTAACACGTACAACTACAACACGAGTTCACAACAAGTGTCCATTAGCTAGTGCTAAGTTAACATCTTGTCGAAAAAAGTTATGTAAAAAAAAATAATGTCAAAAAAAATCGACAATGTCAATTTTCAAGATACATAATACCCATTTGGGTATCTTTGACTCTGCATTTTCTAAAACACCATTTTGCCAATGGTAAGTAATAGTTGAGCCATCAACTACACTGTAGTGGAGAACACGCGCACCACATACGCTTTAGGCAGTGCTGTAATTTATATTATTGTTCATAAGTGTTTGCAAGTAACCCTGTATACCTATGTTTCCCGCGTTTCATATGAAATTGGCTCATTTGGATATGTTATTCCAATGTTATTGGATAAATAATTTCTTGGTTTTAGTCGCGCAAACCGAACCCCTCTCAGTTGTGCACCTGTAAACACCATTATTATTATTAAATCAATTTTCACGTCCCAAAAAGATAATGGGAAAAACAGACAAATGAAAAAGGAATCCTTGAACGGCTAAAGATAATATTCTTGCGCTGAAAAAAAAGTCGCAGGAAATATCTGGTTTAGACATGCTATTACTATCCACATGAGTTTTTTTTCACATATGAAAGTATCCGTTTTCAAATTCTCTAACGCTGTTCAATCAGTGGGGTGTCTATTACTATATCGTACAGTACATGTATTTTAATTTAAGTTTTTTATCCAAGTTTTAATCCAAGTATGGATGTTTTTCATGCTGTTATATTGATTGTCTGTTTGGTTTGATATCAACTGCATTAACATATATTCGTATCACTGATTTGGCCTTTTGTTACATGTACAAGAGTTTATTTTGAAGCTTTCAACCATTTGTCCTCATTGCTCAGTGTTTACTGTATTTATATTTACAACTAACAGTTACTCCTATTCTTTTTGTATATACTTCAATTATATTTATCCGCTTGACGAACATTTCTTGTGATAAAGTCGCTGTATACATATTTTCCCAACAACACTTTTAAATCATTGCGCTGTATCAATATGTGCTTTAACTTGTTTAAATGTTATATACTTTTCTGAATTTGCTAATGTCTATTTATTTGTGAGTGTTTATGTTACACGATAAATAAAGCATCCGAAAGATTAGAGGAAACTATTAAAAATATTGTAGACAGAAGTACAAATATGGTCAGAATTAAAAGCAAGTTTAAAAAAGAACGCCATGGGTCACAAGAGGATTAACCGAATTCATAGAGGAGAGAAATAAATTATACACAGAGCTCAAAACTAACCCAACCGAAGAAAAAACTACAACTACAGAAACAAACTTGGAGTGTTAATAGATGCGGCGAAGAAAAACTACAACCAAAAAGAGCTGAACAATAACAGTTCTAATCCAATAAGTTGTGGAGGTCCCTGAATAAATTGACAGGAGGCAATAGTCAAAACGGAATACATGAAATAAAACTGGAAAGCTCTAATAGAAAAATGACAGCAAATAGAGACTCTCGCAAATACGCTAATTGAGGATATAGAGACTATACAAATAATCTAAACAATGAATCCATTAAAAAACAAAAAGTACCCTGGTTTGGACACAATCCGGCCTGAGCACCTTAAAGTCATATCATCTGTAATAGCCCCACCTTTAGAATATATTTTTAATGAAATATTACAGAGTGGTTATTTTCTGGCTATGTTCAAAACTGCAACCATAACACCCATATACCGACCTATATCGTTAATATATTCGTTAGCTAAAATTTTTGAAAAGACTCGGAAAAAACGTATGATAGCTTACTTAGACAAATACAAAATAATATCTAATAAACAATTTCGATTCAGACAAGCGAAGTCAACTTGATCTTATGACTAAGGTTTCCAGTAATATAATCTCCAAGGACCCAACTCCATGTATCTTTGTCCACATAAAGACAGAATTCGATACAGTTAACCGCAACCAACTCCTCGGGGCTTTGTAAAGAGTAGGCTGTCCAGGCACTGCATACTCATTAATGAAACCCTACCTATCAAATTTGACATAGTTTTCAAATATTATATAAAAATATTTAAAACCTGTTTTTCAAACTGGAATTCTTTTAAAAGCTTCTAATATATAAGGTTAAACATATCCAAGCATACAGCAAATGAACTTTACACCTTCCTAATATGTCAGTCATTATGACTATTGTACCTATGAAGACAATTATCCTGATATAGACTGAATACTGGATGGACATCTCACCACGCACAGGCCTTGCCTTCTGTGGGTATTTCATGTTTATTTGCATGTTACTTTTATTTCACCTGAAACATTTGTAATTTATTGTAATTAAAAGCAAATAAATATTATTATTACTATTATTATTATTTCATATTTATACGTATTTTTCCGGCATATTTGCTCAAACGCATATATGACTTTTCAAGTCTTATATGATGTAACATAATATAAGGACAATGAACTATCTATCTATTTAGGTCAGTCGGAATAAGAAGATAGGGAGGAAGAAGTTAGGGCACAGAAAAAGACATGTACGTCTGCGATATTTGTTACTAAGCAATTAAAAGCTATTTATCTGTTTTAAATAATCTTCATTGACGATTAAGAATTATCACTAGGGATCCGGTTTTAGCACCTATTTTTCATATATATGAGTTATAAGATCGATGCTTCGAGATCGCTTTTTAAAAAGTTTATTTTTCGAAAATACAAAACTCAAAACTGTACTTTTACAAAATTATTACAATGTTATTATGATGTAAACAGTACAAAGGCTTAAATCTGACTGACTGTAAAATGTGTTGAGAACAATAAAGTAAACTCTAGGTCTTCTAGGAAATTAGTAGCATCGTCGGCAGTATTCCTATCATATCAGCAGGAACGGCTGATATAACTTATGGGATATAATCGATATTTATAGCGGATAAAAGCATATAAAAGATAATAATTGCTTTTGGAGTATCCCTGCATTTCAATGAAATATGCATATATATATATATATATTGTTTGGCATGCTATTCAAAAAAATCACACAACGGTCCACTATTCCAGGAATTCAATCTCCATGCTTCTGTCTACGATAACTATTTCTGTACCATCGAAAGCTAGGGATACTAATCACCATACAACAGCAAAAATCAGGTTCGTACTAATCGTCAAGTTATACTCACTTCAATATACCATATACCATCTTCTACCTGTGTAAAACGATGTGTTTGTGGATGAAGAAGCAATGACAGATTATCACCACATAAACAAAAATCCGCTGACAATATCGGTATGACACGCGGCAAACAGCACGGTCGGTATCTCGTTCATTAGAAACAAAACGTCTAGAGAGCATCGCGTCGAAACGCTTACTGGCCAGGCTTTGGCACGCCTACTTTACTTTTAGACTTCCTTCAACATGAATATTGGCATTCAAATCAGCGACAAAATTATTTATAGACCTTGGTGAATGTGTACAGCCGGGAAATCGTTTTTTGTGTGTAAGCTGTGGGTCACGTAACTTAAAATATGCCGGCAAGTTTTTCACGAGAGAGATGCCTTAACGGTTTTTTTAACGGATCTACTGTACCGCATTTATCTGGTCTCTATTGATGTACGCCATAAAGAAGGTTCAAAACCTCGATCTTGAAGGTTGCCTGGACTGACACATTATACAGAAACCTTTAGCGTGCTTACCCGATTGAAAATTGATAGCGTCGCCCCTCGAATAATTAAGTCAAATCTGAGTACGTATATACATAGTAGACGACAACGATATTATATTCGTTCTGCTTCCTTGTGTTACCGACCCGTCATATATAGTACGGTCATTATATGATACGGTATAAATAATAATGGAATCTGGTTCATCTATATAAATTATACATTTGAGCAATGTGCAATAACCTAAAAAGCTCTAAGTGCCGTATCCTCAGTCGTTCCGACAATTGTCGGATTCGTTTATGGCCTCCCTGAATTTCATAGTTTCCTGCTCTTCCGTGTCACCGCTCTATTTTGAGGTTATGTTACAAATACCAATTTGCATCAAATTGTTCAACCTTTTGATTTATATCATCTGTTATATAACCTGAAATTTCCTACAATTTCCTCTCCAATGGGCTAACGCTGACACGGAGCAGTAGAAATCTAGAAATATCCCAGCCTTTGTGACGGAGAGAAAAGACTATGACAATCAAGGAGGCCATAAAGGCATCCTACAATTGTATGAACGACTGACGAAGCGGTCCTAATAGTTCGATACAATTGGTTTGAATGTAGCGAATCTTAAAAATCGCATTGTTTCGATAGTGTCATAGCAACAAGTTCACATACTGTCACTGCGCTTTGAAGACCTGAACCCCTCCACCCCCCTCCCGAGCCCCGTGCACAGGTGAACCAGCGCGATGCTGCAACAAAGCGGTACTGGGGAATACATTTTCAGTTCTATGCAGACGAGGTTCACGGACGACGTCTTGGATAATAGAGGGATATTCCAATTGTCCAAAAGCGATGCGGTGAGCTGTTAGGGCAGCGCTATCTTGACAACTTTGACGTTTGTAAATGCGTTTGGTTTAGGTGATATTGCAACCCAAAAATAAAGTCCATGAAAATACTTGATTGCTACCATTCTTGTTAATTCCTGTATAAATAATAGTGAAAATAGAATATCATGAACTATGTTTGTATTGAATTTATAGTATGTGCATTTGGGAGAATATTCCTTTAGTCAGCAGCTGGCAACGCTGCATTTTTTTCTCATGAATGAATGAATGACGCATTACGTTAGCGTAAACGTGACGAAAGTTTTGCTTGATCGTGTGTGTTTTCACAAATCGTTGTTTTCTTGCTTTTCGACCTGATTTTGTTAGTAATATTGAACTATTATATGTTGAACAATGGTGCAGTCGTGCTACGTGTGCAAAATAAACTCAAAAAATCCAGAATCTGTTGATATATCATTCCATAGGTAAGTGAGGTTATATTTACCACCATGGGGAGGCCATGGGCGTGGACAGACATTTTACAAAAATTTTACTGTAAAACGTATCATCATCAGTCTCTTACCATCATTTTAGTAAGCTTATTTAGCATGTATAGATGAGTATAACGTTCGTTAACAGTATGTTACAATTTCAAAGTATTCTGGGTACAGCCCGTCGACTTTGAAAAGTATTCATATAATCATGATTTTTTAAAAGTACAGTGGCATAGTTACATACAAAGATTAATCCAAATACATTTTGGGATCGACTATCACCAGAATGATAACTCACTAACATAAATGCTATGGTTTGTAAGACTTTTTTCTACAATTTCAGACTTCCAGCTGTTCCAGTTAAGCGCTTGATATGGATGTCACTGCTTGGCATTGATAGCCAAACGATACTTCCTATAGGGATACGTGTATGCAGTAAGCATTTTCGTAAAACCACTGTAACGGTCTAAAAAAAGTATTTTTATGGTGGAGTAAATTTTAATAAAGTAATAATATTGGAGGAAGTTATTAAGCATATACCAGATGTTCCAAATTCGACCCTCACCATTGGGATCGCAGAAGCGGTATGATATATGAAGTCACTTAAGTAAGAGCAAAGTTGCGCATTTAAGTAACTTAACAAAATGTCGATTAGAAAGTTTTGATATTCAAAGTACTTCCGATGTGAGACGAAAAAAACTAACTTTATTTGTAGTGGGATTCCAAAATAAATTGGACATTGTCACTTTGATGATTTTTCGTCTTTTGTCCTCCAACATCAACTTTATTTTTTCTTATAGGCGCCACATTAGCTTTTTACACAGTTGAATAGAGTTTATAATTCTGATTTCAAAAATGTATAATAAGTCATAAAATGACAATGCCAAACCTTAGTTATTTCAGGAAAACAGAATTTCCAAGGTAGGCCTTGAAATTATCAAATAGTAATTTGTTTCGTGTACCAGACCAGTCGAGCTCAAACTGAGCATAGTAACAGAGTTTGGAAAACTGAGAAGAAGAAAACTAAACCGAGCGGTGAACAATGTACAGAGAAGACAAGATTTTGGACATCTGCCGTAATCTATCTCTGCTTATTCATGATTAAGTTTGAATGAAAAAAAAATTGGCGATGGACGTCGAAAGAAGAAATCTCGAATTGAACAATTTACTACGCCATCTTGAAGAGAATAAAAAGTGGCAGTGACAACATGTAACTTACTCAAGTATTCAGGGAGAATTAAAACTGATTGTGCGAGAAGACTGGTATGCGAAACAAATGATCATTCCAAGGCCTACCAAGGAAATTCTGTTTTTTGAAATAACCGAGGTTTGGCAACGTCAATGTATGACATAATTGTACATTTTTTTGAATCAGAATCAGAAACTTTATTCACCTGTGCCAAAATCCAATATGGCGTCTATTATAAGAAATAAACAGAATGTTGTAAGTCAAATACTCGCCAACCAGACAAAAATCAGTATTTTCTGAATCTCCTACGTATTTATTTAGCTATAAACATGTTTGTACAATAAGTATTTTTTTCTAGATCAAAATTTGTAGCAGCTACAGTGCGTGCCTCAGATCGATAAATTATATACTCAATAACTTGCTTCAATATTATTATTTTATTTACCTTTTCATTCAGAAAAATATGATCATTCCAATGACGTTACCGCTTAACTGTAAAATTCAAAATAAATTTATTTAAAGAAACTAACTAGAACACCCTGTATCTCAGTAATGAGTCCATAAAATAGACATGATTACTTAAATTACGTTGTTGTTTAATGAGGTCTAGCAGCTGATCTACTATGAACTGAAATTACTGTATATCTGAAACACAAAATGAAAAAACAAAAACGAAAATCAAAAAGGCTCCCAAAGTTAACATACAGATTGAGGAAATGGGCATAATAAAATGATATACAGTATGCGCTGAGACTTTATAATGTTTGAAAATAAAAAAGTTCAAATTTCATATTGGGTCTAAGGTTTAAGGTTGAGAGGTCCAAGGCTCGGACTAGATTTCTATTTTATCAAAATTAGCACCTCTCATGCTGAATATTGTAATGTGTAAGCTGACGAAATATCTCAAACGCATTTTGTATGCGATTTTCACACACGAAATCTTTCTAGAAAGTTCAAAAGTCTGATTAATGTCACTCAACACAGCCTTAAGCCTGTTTATGGTAAACATTCCATTTAACTCCTCTGGGAACTTGCTCCCTGGGCAAGCTTGCAGTGGGATCATATAGACGCGAGTGATTGGCCCAGTTCATAATTTTTGTCACTTAAGCATTGGAAATGATGATATGGGGTGGGTATAAAAATCCTTGTTGAACCGAAGTTACGTTAAAAATACACCTTAGTTGTTAGAAAACCCTTCACTGCGGAAGAAGTTGCAAATAAACAGATTCCTTAAAGGGATATTCTTCGCTAGTCTAGGCTAGCTCTGAAAACATCCATGGAGGATCTCCGAGTCGTACACGTAGCTTGTCATCTCGGAGTTCTATGTGAATTTAAGAAGGTCTTCTCAACCTTTTTAACATTTTCGGGGCATTTCTGAAGCCTACATACCGATTGCTCCGAAAAATTCTTGTCATAATGTTTTGATGGTACTTTATTGTCATCTAAGGCAGTCAATGGAAGTGTGGGAATATTCAGAACTTCAAAAGCTTCCATAGAGGAAAACTTGATATTCATATTGAAAGTATCTGATTTCCTGATGAGATCATTTATATTTCGATGATTCCGAATAAAATGGATGATATCACGGTTGGGTCCATATCGAAAGTTCAGCGCAAAAGGATGTGAAGGAGATAGTCGATGATCTTCTGAGCAACAATGTCATACGAGCATCAGAGTCAAACTATGCATCCCTAGTTCTGATGGTCAAGAAGAAAAATGGCGAACAAAGGTTGTGTGTGTGTCGACATTTGAATGCGATAGCAGTCAAGAACAATCACTCCTTGCCAAGAATCGATGATTAAGGCCTACTTTCCACGTAAGCCACACGTCATACGCACGCTATCTTCAATTGACGATTGCTTGCGCCTTGCGTAGAAATTACTTAGGAGCATTCAAAACTGTATCCAGGGTGCGGCAACGACGCGTTTGTTAAGCCGCGTATTGACTACGCGCTCCATGAAGTCGAACATTGGCGCGCGCTCCAGACGCGTGAAATGGATACCGCCTTAGAACGCGCGCCAAATTGTTCGTTGGAACGGTCAAACGTGGAGCAGACCGTTCCATCTGGTGTCGGTTTTATACCGCGTATCAAAGGGGGTTCAGTATCGACTCGCGCGCCAGTTGTGACGGTTGTTCCAGCTTAGGCGTTCGTTGCGCTCTGAGCTATGGATAACCAGATTTGCCGTAAATTGATTAAAATGTATGGTCAAAAGAATTATTGTGGAATAGCAAAAGACTTTTTTATCATAATAAAGCGCTCAGAGAAGATTCATGGAGAGAAATAAGCGCTGAAATAGGAATATCTGTGCCAGAACTGAAGAAAACAATGACCGTGCTCTTGTCTTCTTACAGAAGAGAAAAATGGAGAATATCTAAAAGCCAAATTACTGACTCTGGTAATTATCTACACTGATATTTATGCCTGAACAATAATATCTTGTTTAAATATAATTTCTGATAACTTATTTGTATTTAATATAAAACAAAAACCATGTTAAGTATTTCGTGGGTTCACTCTAAATGAAACTAGTTAAGTTCTCATACCTATTTTAATTGTGTGTTGTTTACAGGTCGAGATAGTATTTATGTATCAAAATGGTTTGGTTTTGACGATTTCAGTTTCATGCAAGACAAGCTTACACCTAATGACACAACAGACACTATGCGGGTACGTAAATGATATCAAATATTTTGCCATGGTATTTCTCCATTAGTAACGAAATGTTTTGCAAGATGTAAGCGTATTTCTTTAGCGTCATTTCCACTTCTACGTGGTAAATTAGTGATAGGAAGTAATGATGAAGATTCACTGTCATTTCTCCAACTTCCAAGTATTATTTCAGTATCAGTCTCCATGTCTAAAGATCCATGTGGCTTGTATTGGGAACTGGATTTTTTTCTCAAAAAGTTGTGTAAATGTATAATAGCTAAAACCACTTTTCTAGCTTTATCAGGTGACAGTAACATAGGTTTTCTTAAAACTCTAAAGACCGAGCTTGCGATTCCGAAAGCATTCTCCACCACTCTACGTCCTCTTGAAAGAAGATAATTAAACACTCTTTCAATAGACCCTCTCTCTGGCTCCCCTTGGAATGGTTTCATTGTGTTTCATTTAGTGCGAAAGCTTTGTCTGCCAAAATTACATATGGCACTTTAAAGGCATATGGTATTTGGAGTATAGATGGCTGAGGAACTTTCATAGACTTTTCTTCGAGTTTTTTGTATAATGTAGTATGTATAAAGGTCCCTCCGTCAGAAAGTCTACCTTGACAACCAATGTCAACGTATCTAAAACAGTAATCTGCGTCTACGAGTGCAAATAGGACGATACTAAAAAAATGTTTATAGTTATACTATTCCGTGCTGCTGTTAACAGGTGCTTGTATCATAACGTGTTTTCCATCCATGGCACCTATAGCATGAGGAAAATTCCATTTTTCTTCAAATTCTTCCACAATTTTCAACCATCTTTCCTCTGAGGTGGGGATCTGTAAAAAATACTTAAATAAATATACGCACGTTTTTCCAGGAACCTACATCACATGATAAAGGTGAATCTTCACAAGGAACTTCACAAGAAACTTTACAACAAAATAATGAAGAAAATATTGTAGGGTGGTCTGATAATATGAATGAACAATCAAAAGAGGTTGATACCTCCAAGGTTCCAGAAAAACCTGCTAAGAACGCAAAGAAATGAAAACATGATGAAGAGGAAAACGAAATGTTGACAGAAGCATTTAAAATTCTTACTGAAATGTCTCAAGCTAGTGATCCATATTTCAGTTATGGCCAGCACATAGCAAATGAATTGAGAAAGTATGACAATCACACTTTAATATACGTGAAACAAGCAATAAATCATGTCATTTTTGAGGCTGATTTAGGTAAGTACAGTCCAACGTATCGGTACACGACAGAACAAGAGACTCAAAGTTCCTCAACACCTACTTTACATGATGATTCCTCAGCCACAATGTCACCTAATGATAATGGACAATAGTTATTATTATAAGAGTTAGTTGAATAAAAAGAAGCTTCTTAATGTTTCGATTTCTTTACTCACCTTTACCCAATCCTTCAAAACCTCACTAATGGCATCACACACTTCAGGGACTATTCTAGATATAGATTGTTTTGAAACCCTAAAAAGGTACTGAAGGCTAGTATAAGAGTCCCCAGTGGCTAAAAATCTTAAGGTTATAGCCAACCTTTCGGTCACTGCAATAGCTTCTCGAAACTGGGTGTCCATTTTGTTTACCCTTGGCTCAATCAAATTTCTCAATTGATTAAAGTCCTCTGTTGACATTCTTGTAAAGTTTTTTATTGTGTCATCAACAGCTTCAAACTGCATACCTCTCATAAGTCTCACTCCATGCTATAGTCTATTTCGGTACAATTCTTTCATCCACCAACGCACTTTTCGATTCTGTTTTTTCTTGTGTATATTATTGTGAATAAGTATAAACGCGGCAGCTGCTCGTACACGACCAACATCCATGCTGAACGGTAAAATACTGGAACGGTCGCCAGGCGCGCCATGAGCGCTTAGTTGATATACCTCAAACAAATGGAACGCGTTTCACGGAACGCATTCAAGGCGCGGTCATTCCTCGCGCGCGCTCCAGGAGCGCGTAATCGATACGCGGCTTTAGTCGTCATGCGGTTCGTGCAGCAGCATATCAGCACTCCAGCGAAGGTTTGCCAGGCGTGGCGATTTTTCGCCAAAGTGGCGATATGACGGCTTCAAATGACAACTAAAATGGATAGCTCGGCGATTAGCTACTTTAGCTGCGCCCAGTGTCCAGCAAATTGGCGATATCTGGCGATTTTTTGCATTTCTGAGCCCAATTAATTTGTGATCGATGTTTGTCGCTATGTGTATAGATTAGTGAAACATGAAACGAAGACCAGCGGAAGTTCTGTGCTCTTAACACAATGTCGCACGCGTTGTGTGCAATTAAGCCACACCACAGAAAAATTAGGAATGAAGCGTCACACAACAAACGTTTTCGAAATCCCTCACATCTAGGTGCTGACGGGAAATGAAAAATATGTAATAACCTTTTCACTTCCACAAATATTCCTGTCTGGAGCATATTTTCTCGTCTGTTCCTTCACCAACAAGGGATTTTTTTTCTTATCTCTCTCATTTTTGGAATTCAGCTAATTTGGGAATGTAATTTCCAGAATGAATTAAAAAAAGTTGATGCGCAACTAATTTTTAGCTTTGAATCTCAAGTAAATGTATTTGAGACAAGAAACCATTGGAATTATCATCGATACATATTATTAACATATAAATCCTCACTATGCACCTATGCACTTCCCTTTCCTTCTAGCTATAATACACAACTCACAGCTTGGACCTCCAACAAAGACACATCTGGAGCAGATTTTACTTCACATAATTCTACATTGATAAAGTTGTAGTCACCGTTCTTGGCGGTTACGTCATCAACGCCATATGAAATAAGTAAACAGATCGAGTCTCCGTACCATGGGCGGATCTATATGTAAGTTACTCTCCCCAGTACTCATGACGTGGGTAACAGGGGACCGCTGTTTTCATTCTCTTCCTGAAAATACTCTTAACAGATTTAGCACGAGCTGTCGGCTTTCTCCATTAATCGTATTTGCGGGCATTGTACAATTTTATATTGAAGATTGATCACAAAACAACTCAAATTGCACGCCGATGTCAAGTAAGTTGTCACTCAGACAAATATGATTGAAGGGCGCTCATACGAATTAAGAATGTGCAAACAACGAACGACTTTTTAAAAAAGCGACTTTATTTAACAGAAGACGAATGAGTACTGGTCACCTTGGTTTACATGCATCTCTTACTTATAACCTACGCTAGAACAAAGGAATTGAAAAGTGCAAACCTAAGCAACTCTACATATTAGATCATCATCATAGCAGTGCCGTAATTCCTCCCTCTTCAAGAAGATTGAACCTCCTGGTTCAAAGGAAAAATCTGGTTAAGTTCAATGTCATTTTTGACTGATTGATTTTTTGGTTCTTTTTGCTTCAAAAGAGAGAGCAATTGTTTTTTTAAACAAAGTATAATTACAACAAATGTTAAAATACATAAAATAGTTACAATGCTAAACGTGGACGTTTTGTGTGAAAAATCTAAATTTTTTAATTTATCGTGTAATAAAACATTATTCAATTGTATATCCGAATAACCCTTTACATCAATATTTTCAAATAACATATTCTTATCATAGTTCACCATAATGTTAGGTATGTATAAAGGTTTCGAAATATCAGAAATCTTCAAATACTCAGTATGATCAATAAATGTTTTACAGTTTAAGCTGATAATAAAAGAGGAATCAATTTCTTTTCTTTCTTTGGTACAATCTTCATATACTGGAATATTCTTGTTAGTATTCACTAAATAGTTATCATGTTTTAATTGAATTACTTCTGAAAATGAACCTTTTGCCAAGAACGTACAATTTTCAACTTTAAGTAAGTTACAACTGGAATGGATTAGTATAGTACAGTAAAAATATTTATTACTCAATAATTTGCATTCATCACAAAAATGTATAGTTTCATTTTCGATAATATTTTTATGTTTCAATACCAGAATATTATTTTGGTGTATAATGGGGTATATATTGGAATATATAAAGTTACCAGTAACTGTTGGTATGTGAAGAACAAATATGATTTCTTCTTCGAGGACTATAATACTTAATTCACATAATTCGAAAAATTCAAAATTGTGCAGTTTATCAAGTGGGAGAAGTTCATTTTTGTCAAATAGATCATTTAATAACGAATGGATATAATTAATTTCAGTCTTACTCAGCTGTAAGAGATTTATGCCCTGATTTGTGCTCAGGTTAATGGTTAACAGTAAGTGTGATAAATAATTAGAAAATCTTTGAATAATTATTATCTCATTCAAGACATACTGAGAATTAGCGTATTCGCTATGCAATTTGTTGAGGTTATCCAAATTATCTCTCAAATTTTTCTTTATAATTAAAGTGTTATTTTCAAACCTGTCTTGTAATTGTTTTGCTACAGAGACGGTTCGGGAATTTTGTAATGATAAATTATCTTGATTTTCCTTCAGAATTTTCATATTTTCCATTATTTCGTCTAGATCAGATTGATCTAAATTGCCTGAAATATATTTTATGACGGAACCAAGACCATTAAATAATCCACGCTTAACTCGTTTAAATTTTAACATTTCATATTTGTCTAAAAGCAAATTGTATTCATGTTCAAGTTGTGTTATCAACGTATCATCTATTCTTTGTTTTGCAAAATAGACATTTGACGTTATTTGCTTGATATTTTCATTAATGAGAGTGAGATTTATATGAAAAAATGTCTTATGGTACGCTTTTAGTAGATAGGCGTTACCTAGCTCTTGCTTAAAATATGGTGCTTTATTCTCGATCAGCTGGATCTCTAGGCCGGCTAGTTGAAGGGCCTGGATTAGGATCCTGAAAGTTAGAAATTTTGCGTTGCGGTTTCACTCTATTCAGTCTATGCTTTTTTCCTTTAGTGCGCAAATTAATATGGACATTTTCTTGTTCGTAAGAGGTCTCTTTAGAATACAGGGGTTTTGTTTTATGTGAACGATCTAATGCAGATTTAAGATATACTGGACCTTCTAAGGTTGGAATTTCCTTATTTCGATTTTGATTAATTTTTTCTAGTCTTTCCGTTGCCTTATCTAGTACACGGTTCGATAGTTCTTCATAAAAAGGTAGTAATTCTCTGTACCGTTTCTCGTTATATTCATCATATAATTTTGTGGGGGTATCGATCAAATGCTTATTCAAATCGTCGTAAGGACCGTATAATAATGAAAATGGGGTATATGTGGTCGTAGAATGGACACTTTGGTTATAAATTAAGATAGCTGTCGTCATTAGATCAATAATCGAATCGATTTTATTTTGCTGACGTAAAATTTTGAGTTTTTCTTTCAAGGTACTATGAAATCTTTCAAGAGGTGATAATGATGAGGGGTTACCTACACTAGTAACATGACATTCAATTTTGTGCATATTACAGAATTCTTTTATAACTTTTGTGTTAAGTTCACCAGGATCAAAAGTTATTTTGTCAGGATAATTGTGATGGGAAAAGAAGTGTCTGATTTTGTTTAATATTTCGTTAGATAATTTTGATTTTAAATTGTAGGCCTGGGCATATTTACTAAATAAATCAACAAATGTTAAAAATATTTGTTGTTCGACTTGAAAAATATCTAGAAATATATGTTCAAATGGTCTTTTGGCTATTAGAGGTCCTTCCATAGGGAGTTCGATTGGTCGTCTTTCGTATTTTGATGTCAAACAAGTATTGCACTGATTAATGTAATTTGATATTATTTTTTTCATATTTGGGGTGAATGCTTTTTTCTTGAAATGGCTGTAAGTTTCATTGATACCATTATGCGTTTGGCTATGATAGAAAGACAATTGTTCTGTAAATGAGTCTTTTAGTAGGTATATAGGCTTATAAGAAGCTTTAACAAATCTTATACCGCTGTTCGAAAAATACTGTTCTAAAAGTTCGTTAAGTTTAAATTCTAAAAGTTGATTTTCATACCAAATACCATAAGTATGATCGGGCTGAAGATATTCCTTCATGAATTTCAAAAGTTGCTCTGTTTCAGATCCACTTCGGACTGTTACCATTAAAGTTCCATTGCAAGACTTTGTTATTTTGTACTGATTTTTTAACTGAAAATGTATTCGATTTTTGAAAAAATAAAAATTCTTTTCTTGATACAATATATGATTGATAGGATTTTGTGCAGATGAATGTCGAGTAACATCAGATTGCTCAACAATTTTGAGTCGTTCATCTAACGGCATTTCATCTAATAAATCAATTAAAGGTAAATTATCTTCATTCAAGATTTCATCAAGTTCTTGGGTTGTTAATTCTTCTACAGAATCTACTTGTGGTAAAATGGATAAAAGATCGTCATCCTCTAAAGCGTTAATTTCAATTCTACTGAGCGCATCGGCTACAACATTGTCTTTGCCTTTTTTATATTTAATTGAAAAATTATATTCTTCTAACTGAAGCTTCCATCTAATCAATCGCTGATTGGGCACTGATAAGGAACTCAACCAAACTAGGGGCTTGTGATCACATTCGATTAGAAAATTTTGACCAAATAAATAAGGACGGAATTTTTTACAAGAATCAACTATTGCCAATAGTTCTTTTTCAATAACGCTGTAATTGCGTTCAGCAGAATTTAATGTTCGAGAGTGGAAAGCAATAGGCTTATCATTTTGACTAAGAACTCCTGATAGGGCTATATTGCTACAATCAGTTGTCAATGTAAATTTTTTGGAAAAATCAGGATAAGCCAGAATAGGTGGGTTACAAAGAGCTTCTTTACAAAGTTTAAATGCATTGATATAATCTGGATTATTGATATTGATTTTTTCATCTTTACGTAAACATTTTGTGAATGGCTTAGTCAATTGTGCAAATC